CTTTGACAACTTGGTCCTTCAACAATGTCGTCCTCTGAAACAAATTCCCAAAAATAGTAGTTACAACATTGCAAAAGCACTGCTCTTTTATACTTGATAAAAAGTAATTAGAGTTTTGATATTTAAAGTTTTTTTTTTTTTTTTGAAAACTGTGCTACACTACAATACCAAAAAAAGTGGTATATATTTCAAACTCCGATTAGCGGAATGATAAAACATTTTCTTCACATTTCTGTGAAGATGTTTTGAATCGCGTCACCAACAGGATTTGAACCTGTGCGGGCAGAGCCCATGTGATTTCTAGTCACACTCCTTAACCACTCGGACATAGTGACACACTTCTTTCGTGTTTTTGATTGCTACATCAACTTTTGTTCGGCTAAACAATTATCCATATACACTTCTTGAAAGTAAGCCTATCAATCCGTCATTAGTTCGATCAATCTATCAACAGGCAATATTAATCCACCTACTGCAACTTCTTTAACACAAAACCCATCAAGTAATCCAGTTTCAAAGATTCCAGAAGAAACTACAGCCTCTAGCAAAATCAGTAACCAGGAACCTATATCCTCCTTCTCCTCCTCTACCGCCTCCACTAAGCGCACCCTCTCCGACCGCTCACCGCAACTCCAACCTTTCGACCAAGTGAGCCGCCCCCACCGCAAGATCAAGTCACACAACATCGACTTCCTTATGAACCCCACCACCGCCTTCGACTTTGGGCCCACTCAGCAACCCGTCCAACAGTCTTCCATGCTCACAATGGATCAGCCACTTGACTTTGGACTACCTGCTTCCGTCCCGGATTGGTTCCGACCTTTCCAAGCTAGGCTTCTTCATGTGGAGTCTTTGGCTCAGGAGAACCAACGCCTTCGAGAGGAGCTCAACACAGCCCAGGCCCGTATCGCTGAACTTGAAGCCTCTCAAACCCAACAACCACAACAACCACAACAACCCAAGCTTCACGTCGGCACAGAGGCTTCTAAGTGGAAATCAACCTCTGCTACCCCTACCGCCAAGCCTAATCCTCCCCCTCAGCCAGCCACTATTCCTGCTCCTTATAAGGCAGCTGCCTTGAAAGGAAAGAAAACTGCCCCTCCTGCGCCCAAGCCCTCCACCACTCGCCCTCGCAAGGTGTTGTCCACCCGACAACTTCAAGTGGTGGCACGTACGTTCACTCCCGTCTCTGGTACCCACGGGTACCAGTATATTTATCTTCCTTGCCGCTTCCGTGAGCCTATCACTAGTGCTCGTGGTAAGCTAGCCAAGCTTCGCTTGGAGAATTCCCGTATTCTCCACTTATACTATCCTACCAGTCGTGTAGTCGCCATCCTGGTACACAATGACTATGTAGAATATACCTTGACTACACTCAAAAAGGCAGGCATCAAGCCTCTGGAAGAATTCAACCCTCGCGACGCTACTCATCTTCGAGATTCCAAGTTCGCTGATCTCACAAATCACGAACGACATCTCAAGATGTATGAGATTCACACCGCCTCTCTTCTCCGTGCCTTGGATCGCGTACGCGTGGAAGTGCGTCCCTCAGTTGCCCGTTCCTTTCTCAACAAGTCTTGGATCACTCAAGAACAATATCAAGGCCTCTTGAGCAAGTCCCGCCCTCCACGTCAAGCCTCCACCAAGGTCAACGCCTCCTTTTTGGATGTCACTATGGACGAAGTTCCCCCTCAAGACTCTATCCCACCTACTCAAGACCAACCTTCTCCTACTGGTGCCGGTGAACCAGCTGAAGAGCTCTTATGAGTCAGGTAGATAATAATAATAATACCAATATGTACCCCCCTTCCCCTTCCTCTCCCTCATCTATGACAAATAACATGCTCTCTATGACCTTATGGAACTCTAATGGTTGTGCTCGTCACACTATTGAGGCCATTACTAACTCCCTTCCTTTCTCTCATTTACTGTTTCTCACCGAGACGTGGCTGTTGTCACCGTTAAGGTTTCCTACGAATTGGAAACAGTATCATACATATGCAGTCCCAGTCGACAACACCTTTCGTGGTGAAATGGGTATCAGTCTCTTGGTTCACCCAGATTGCCCTTATGAAGTCATTCATTTTCCTTCCACATCTCCCTATGTCCTCACTTGTCAAGTCTCCAACACGTTGATTCACTGTATCTACCTGCCTCCAGCACTCTCAATCGATGAAGCTATTGAAGTACTTGACAATTTACCCGTACAAACACATCCCTCACAACATAACACCATCATCTACGGTGACTTCAACGCTCGACACCGAGAGTTGCTTGGCGATACCCGCACCACCCCTCGTGGCACTGCTCTGAACAACTGGATCGTCGAGAATGGTTTACGCTGTTGGAATTCTGAACTTGCGTTTGGAATACCCACGTACTATTCACACACAAGATTCAGCTCCATGACAGGCCGACATTTTCATAGTGTTATTGACCTTTTCCTTAGCACTCAAGAATTGCACAACGTTCAATTAAGACTTCATGATGATCTTGCCCTCGGGTCTGATCATTGTCCTCTGTCTTTTTCTTGTCTTGTGCCTCCTCCTCCTCCTCCTGACCTGCCCAGTCACCCTCGCTTACTTTGGAACCTAAGTAGATTATCGGAAGATAACTGTACCTATCTGCAATTATTTAAAGACAAGATACAACCGTTCCATCAGCTACTTCAAGAATATACCTCTGCAGATGGTGTCTACACCTCTGTACGTCCCGATCTTGATGCGCTGACTCTTCAATTCAATGAGATTATCCAGTCTAGTTTGGATCAGTCCGTTGGGCGCAAGAGCCCCCACAGTCGTCACCATGCTTGGTTCTGGACAGCCGATTTGCAGACCGCGTTTGACCATCGTGAATTCTGTAGAAGAGCTTGGAAACGAGCCTCTGGTCCCAGTAAAGCTGCAAGGTGGACCGACTATACTTTGGCATGCTTGCGGTACAAGTCCGAACTTCGTCGTCGACGTCGCTTCACTTGGAAACAGTTTTGTCACAAGTTGTCCTATGTTCCTCTTGATGTTACTAACTCCATTGTCAGTAGGATCAGACGCAACCGGGTAGTTCAACCGCAATTCTCTCATCCCGAGGGTTCTCGTGTTGCTGCTTCTGTCATGGCAAGACATCTCCAACAGGTGTTCTCTGGTGCAAACCTGCCTGACACTCGCTACCCTGCTCCACTCATTCCAAATGGCCCTCATTCCATAGATGAAGCCAGCTGTCCCATAACGACCAGTACAGTACACTATGCTTTGTTGAAACGTCTCTCCAGACGCAAAGCCCCTGGTGTCGATCATCTTCGTACTGAAATGCTGTTGTCGATCGCGGATGAGGTCATTCCAACCATCACTCTCCTCTTTCAACTTTGTTGGAAGTGGTCAGTTATTCCTTCTGACTGGCGTACTGCGCAAGTGGTCCCTATTTACAAAAAAGGAGATGCCTTAGACCCAGGTAACTATCGACCTATCTCACTCACCTCGATTATGCGCAAGCTTTTCGAGTTGTGCTTGCAACAGGAGCTGGAATCTACCGCTCCATCACTTGATCCTGTCCAAGGTGGGTTTCGACATCATCGTAGTGCGCTCGATCAAGCCTTGTGCTTGCATGAGCTGTGCCGACAACACACTATCGACCACTCCGGTGAACCTCCTGTCCTTGCCTTCTTGGATATCAAGTCGGCCTATGACACTGTTGACCGTGCTATTGTATGGCGTGCTCTTAAGACTCATGTTTCTGAACCCATGCTGGGCATCCTTCAGTGTCTATTCGATCAGGTAAGTATAGAAGTCTTGCTTGGTGGTCACTCTTCACCTTCGTTTTGGCCTCGTACCGGTGTACTACAAAGTTCAATCCTCTCTCCATTCCTTTATTCCATTTACATCAACTCTCTTCCTGCTGTCCTCCGGGATATCCGCCTGCCTGTCTCTGCACGATATTACAGTACCATTCCCCAACGCGAGTTCGGTGGTCTCTGGATAAATTGCTTGCTGTATGCTGACGATGTCGTTTTGATTGCTGCTCCTGAGGTTATGCCGAGGTTGCTCAAGAAAGCAGAAGAACACTCTCAGTCACTTGGTTATAGGTGGAACCCTGCCAAGTGTGTCGTGCTTAACTGCCCTAGTGACAATGGAGGGCGTCGAATGAAACTCTACGGATCACCCATACCCAAGGCGTCTTCGTTCGCTTATCTTGGCGTTCCTTTCAGTCCACAGGGTAAGATTGCCACTGACCTTCTTATTCGTAGGAACACAGCCTCTGCTATCTCTGCCATGCGTGCGACTCTGTTGCCAATCGGTATTAGATCAGCAAGCTTCTCCCGCCTTATTGCCAGTCGTCTCTACGTTACCTTTATTAGGCCCAAGTTTGAGTACGGTCTGTGCATATGTACCTTCCTGGTCAAGCAGCTGGCTCTATTAGAAAAGGCTCAAGACCAGTGCCTTCGTATGGCTTTCGGTGGTCATCGTACCTCTTCAACCGGTGTCTTTAAGCATTTGGTCAACCTACCCAGTATGACAGAACGTACCACTACCTTGGTCTTCAAGTTCATCCTCCGAGCCCACTTCCTCCCTGAAGATACCCTCCTCTCTCTCCTTCTGCGCTTTGTGCAAGATGATCCCGTTCGTAGCCGTTTTCGTTGGCCGGCTTTAGTGGCGTCAAACCCACTATGGTCCAACCCAACGTTAAATGGTGGTCATGCTTCAACAGCTGATCGCGTTGATTACTTCACCTGCCTCGCCTATGTTCGTCTGTGTATCGCGACATATCGTACTCAGAATCTCACAAAGATATATCAGAAACAAAATCCTCCTGTCCTTCTCTCTGCCTGTCGTCCGTACCATTGTGTAGATCCAATCCTTACGTTACCAATGAGCGTCTACGATCGTAGTCGTCTTCTGAGGTGGTGTATGGGTTGGCTACCAGGTCGTCCTATTGCTTGTCGTTGTGGTCACTCTCATGCTTCCAGAGCACATTTGTTGAGCTGCCTTCGGGTGGCGACACGTTTAAATGTTGCTCTCAACACTCGCCCTAATCCACTGGATTACGTGTTGAATCAGTTGCCTCGAAAGATTCCAGTTCGACACTCTCCTCCTCTCCTCTCTCGTTGGTCTGCTTGGTGGCCAGTTGTCTGTGCCATCTTGTTTGAAATAGAACAAATCTGCCAACCTGATGAAGAATTCTCCAGTGCAGCATCAGACACCTCTGGCTCATTACTCTTAGACAAGCTCAAGCCAGCTCCAGCTGTGTCTCTCTCCTTAAACTTTCACTCGTACTGTTTATAAAACAACAAAAAGATAAAAAAGAGAAATAACAAAAACCATAAACATTACTAGATTTACCTTGCGTCATCTAGACGCCCTTTTACTCCGCCCAGCTTCGGCTGTCAGCTTTACTTTACCTGTTTTTCAAAAACATTTATTTATATATATTACTTATCCATTTGTACACACAATTATAGCTACTAACATTTTGTCACATAGCTCCCAAAATCCACCTCTCTGCTACTATAGCATCTTTGCTCCTGCTGGACATCCATCTTGGCCTATGTGCCCCTCATACACCTCGTACATCTCTCTCTCTCGGCTTAGGCCTCACTAACTTAACCAACATTTGCCAGTATCATCTGCGCCTATCAATTCACCTTTCTTTCGCGCTCAGCCGCCCTTCACTTTTGTTCTCTCGACCTCTGTTGCCCTCTCAACCTCTTGTCCCACAAGCTATCCATGTCGATCACCATTCAAGATCCGATTCATGCCGCTCTCCTCACCCTTTTTTCAGCTTTATGCTGTTTTTTTTATTCTTTCCTATTATTTTGTAATAATCACTCCAAGGCGAGGCGCCATGCTCGCACTGGCGACGCCTCCATAGCCTTTTAATAAAGAAAATCCTTTATCTCGGACATAGTGACACACTTCTTTCGTGTTTGTGATTGTTACACCAACTTTTGTTCGGCTAAACAATCGTCCCTATACACTTCTTGAAAGAAAACCTATCAATCCGTCATTAGTTCGATCAATCTATCAACAACACCAATCCACTCACCCCATCTCCTTTGGACCAAAACTCATCGAGTACCCCACTTTCGAACATTCAAGAAAAACCTAAAGACAACAACAAGACCAGTAACCAGGAACCCACTTCCGCCCAACCCACCGCCCCCGCTACTCCTAAGCGCACCCTCTCCGATCGTCCTCCTCAACTCTCCCCCGCCGATCACCTCAACCGGCCTACCAGCAAGCCTAAACTGCACAACCTGCAGCACCTCATGAATCCCACTCCCAACATCGACTTTGGGCATGCTACCCACCCTTTCTTCTCTGCCAACGCCCTCGTAGTCAATCAGCCACTTGATTTTGGACTACCCTCCAACGTCCCTGAATGGTTCCAGCCTATCCAGGCAATGATCTTTAACCGGTTCGCCCACATTGAATCGCTCATACAAGAGAACCAACAACTTCGCACTGCTTTGGATGCAGCCAATCAAAGTATCAAAGCACTGGAGGCTAACCAGTTCCCCCTACCCACTTCCACCACCCCACCAGCACCCACCACTCTTAAGTCCAGCGGTTCCAGCGCGTCTAAATACGCCACTATCACACCTCCAACTGCTCCTACCAATCCCTTAACCAAAGCCTCTCCCGTATCCTTTGCCTCAGTTGCTGCTAAGAACAAGGACACTAAACCCAAGATTACCAAGACTATGTCCCACAAGCAAAAGTCCATGACATCCAGACACAAGATCCAAGTGATCGCTCGCTCCTTCACTCCCGTGTCTGAAACCGCTGGTTATCAGTACATTTACCTCCCTCGACGATACCGTGAACCCATCTCCAGCATCCGTACCAAGCTTCATTCCCTACGTATCGATAACGCTCGTATCCTGGATGTCTTTTATCCTACTCGTCGCGTTGTTGGCCTTCTATTTCACAACGACTACGTCCCCACAGTTCTCGACATCCTCACCAAAGCTGGAATCATACCATTGTCAGACTTCAACCCCAGAGACGAAGCCCACCTTTGCGACCCTAAGCATGCCCAACTGCCACCTGCCGAACGTACAGCCATGATCACTACCATTCATACCACACACCTTCTTCGCACCTTGAAACGTATTCGTTCCGACGTCCGCCCTGCTGTTCTAAGAGCCTTCATCGAATGCAACTGGCACACAGCTACACAATATAATGATTACATCAATGAACTAGCAGCCAGCAACAACAGTCAACCCCCCACATTTGTCGATACAGAAATGTCTGATATCCCTACAGCATCACCCTCAACACTCGCACCCCCCTCCCCTACTGGTGATGGTCAACCAGCCGAAGACCAATTATGAGTAATTTAAACAATATACATACTGATACTAACATATACCCCCCTCACACTCTTTCTACTAACAATTTACTAACTATCACTCAATGGAACTCCAATGGTTGTGCACGACACACTATTGAGGCCGTTACCAACTCCATTCTCTCAACACATCTCCTATTCCTTACAGAAACCTGGCTCCTCTCCCCTCTCCGATTCCTCACCAACTGGCGGCAATTTCATACCTACGCTGTCCCAGTAGACAACACATACCGAGGTGAAATGGGTATCAGTTTACTCGTACATCCTGATTGCCCACATCCTGTTACTCACTTCCCCTCCACATCACCATACGTCCTATCCTGCCAGGTATCAAATTTACTCATTCACTGTGTGTACCTTCCACCTGCACTCCCAGATGCAGTTCTTCAACAATTACCTACACAAACGCACCCTTCCCAAGCGAACACAATCATCTGCGGTGATTTCAATGCACGTTATTCAGCTCTTCTTGGTGACTCGCGAACTACCCAAAGGGGCACAGCCTTCTATAATTGGATGGTTGAAAATGGTTTGCATTGCTGGAATTCAGAACTAACCTTTGGTATACCCACTTATAACTCACATTCTAAAATTAATCAACGTACAGGTATACATTTCTAGAGTATCATTGATCTCTTTCTTAGCACAGATGAACTTTTGAATCCCACTCTCATTGTACATGAAGATCTCGCTCTCGGATCAGATCATAGTCCACTCACTCTTCCTTGCTCTGTGCCTCCCGCGCCTCCTGCTCCCGGTCACCCTCGCCTTTTGTGGCATCTCAGTCGCTTCCAAGAACAAGATTGCCCTTACGAGGAAAAGATTAGTACAAAGGTTGCACCCTTCAAAACACTTCTCCTTGACTACGTTGCTGAGGATGGTAAGTATACAGATACCGCTCCTAACATTGACGATCTAGCCGTTGTATTCAATGATATTATCCACTCTTGCTTGGATGATTCTGTTGGCAGAAGGAGCCCACGTTCTCGTCATCACTCCTGGTTCTGGACCTCTGACTTGCAAGATGCTTTTGATCGCAGAGAAGTCTGCCGACGAGCCTGGAAACGCGCTTCTGACCTGGATAAAGTTCCCAAATGGAACACCTACCTCTCAGCCTGTGCCCAGTACAAATCTGCCCTTCGTCGCCGTCGACGTGCTACTTGGTATCAATTCTGCAAGAAATTGTCGAATGGACCACTTGCTGACACCACTTCCATTGTACGTCGCATTCGTCGTAACCGGACTGCCACTCCTCAGTTCTCACAGCTCGAGGGACCACATGTTGCTGCCGATGTAATGGCTCGTCACCGGCAAAGCGTATTCTCAGGTGCTACACTACCCACTACTAGGCTCACTGCTCCACATATCCCACAAGGTCCTCATCCAGTTACTCCTGATGTCTGTCCCATTACTGAGAATACAATACGTTATGCCTTGTTGCGTCGTTTGCCTCGACGTAAAGCTCCTGGGGCTGACCATCTACGTACCGAGATGCTATTACCAATAGCCGAAGTCATTGTCCCAGTGATTACTCTTTTGTTTCAACTTTGTTGGAAATGGTCTTGCGCCCCTCGCTTGTGGTGCACTGCCCAGGTAGTCCCCATCTACAAAAAAGGCGATACATTAGATCCAGGTAACTACAGACCCATATCACTAACCTCCATTATGCGCAAGCTCCTTGAGCTTTGCCTTCAGTCAGAACTTGAGAATACAGCTCCTACGCTTGATCCTGTACAAGGTGGATTCAGACGTCAACGAAGCGCTCTAGATCAAGCATTGTGTCTACAAGAAATCTGTCGACAGCACCGCCTCGATCATTACAATGAACCTCCAGTTTTAGCCTTTCTTGATATCAAGTCAGCTTATGATACTGTTGATCGATCTATCATCTGGCGTGCATTGGAGACCCACGTTTCTGATCCTATGCTTGGTCTTCTGCAATGTCTTTTTGACAAGGTAAGTACTGAGGTACTCATCGGTGGACATTCATCTGCTACCTTCTGGCCTCGCACTGGCGTTCTTCAAGGATCGATCCTTTCTCCTTTTTTATATTCCATCTATATTAATAGTCTTCCTATACTGTTGCGTGAAGTACTAATGCCAGCCTCTTCTCGTATGTATAGTGTTATGCCTCGCCGTGAATATGAAGGCCATTGGATCAATTGTCTCCTTTATGCTGATGACGTTGTTCTCATTGCTGCACCAGAGGTCATGCCTCGACTGCTCAAGAAGGCAGAAGAGCACTCCGTTTTCCTTGGGTACCGCTGGAACCCAGCAAAATGCGTTGTACTCAACTGTCCCAGCATCCATGGTGCTCGTCGGCTGCAGCTGTATGGGTCTCCAATTCCCAAGGCTGACTCTTTTGCATACCTCGGCGTACCTTTTGATACCCAAGGTCGTATCGCCACTGATCTCCTTATCCGCCGCAACACTGCTTCTGCCATTACCGCCATGCGAAGAACACTCCTGCCCATTAGATTACGTGCTTCCAACTTCTCCCGTCTCACTGCTAGTCGTCTATATGCAACGTTCATTAGACCTAAATTTGAATATGGTCTCTGTCTCTGCGCCTTCCTCATTCGCCAAATGAACCTTTTAGAACGCGCCCAAGATCAATGTCTACGAATGGCATTTGGTGGCCATGCTATCTCGTCCACTGGAGTGTTTAAGCATCTAACCAACCTCCCGCACATGATTGAAAGAACCAATATACTGACGTTCAAATTCATCATCCGTGTCCACTTCTTGCCTGAAGATGCACTTCTCTCTGTTATCCTTCGTTTTGTAAATGCCTCTGCTCCTCGCACTCGTTTCAGGTGGCCTACTCTCTGTGCCAAGAATGCTATATGGCCCCAACCTCTCTCCATGGTTGACTCTACCTCCCTAGAAGTTCGCCTCACTCATCTTATCTCGTCGTCTAACGTCCGAAAAAGCATTCTCGCTTATAGGGCTCAGATACTCACATCTAGGCGTCAACAACCAAAGCCTCCTGTTCTCCTAGTGGCATGCCGCCCCCATCTAGGTATTGACCCCATCCTCACCTTACCTATGAGTATCTATACCAGAAGTCGTCTTATTCGCTGGCGAATGGGTTGGCTTCCTGGTCGCCCAAAACCCTGCCGCTGTGAACACCCACATGCATCAAGAAGGCATCTTCTAAATTGCCTGCGTGTGGCCTCTCGTCTCAACGTTGCATTACACACTCGACCAACTCCATTGGACTACATCCTCAACCAGCTGCCTCGTAAGCTCCACGCTTCTCATTCTCCTCCCTTGTTTGTTCGTTGGTCTGCCTGGTGGCCGGTAGTATGTCAAGTACTCTTTGAGATTGAACAAATCTGTCAACCAGATGAGGAATTCTCAAGTGCTGCCTCTGACGTCTCCGGCTCATTACTTTTAGACAAGTTAAAACCTCCTCCTCCTGTTGACGTTGCCCTCGTTGTCACTGACTCTCTGCAATCATCACTGTAATTCTCGTCTCAATATAACAACATATTATTACTTATCATCTTTTTTATTATCTTTTTTACTGTTGCTTACACCTTCTTCATAGATTTAACAAGCTCATAACCTTCACATTCTGCTGTCATATAGCCCCTATCATTCTTATATTGGCTGGCATTTCACACATCTCTGCGTATCATCCCTAACCTGACACTTCCTTTGGTACGTAAGAAATAATCTCATTCAGCTGATTTGTCCCACTCATTCACTGAATTTCTCTTCACCTACACAATGATTGACATATTGATTCCCAGATTCATACAGATCTTCACGTCTTTTTTCAACCTTTACTGCTTTTTTGTTACACATCTTTATTTTATATTTGCACTTTTAAAGCGAGGCAATTTGCCTACATCTGTTCTGTCTACCATGCCTTCATTAATAAAGAAAAACCTTCATCTCGGACATAGTGACGACACTCCTTTCGTATTTCTGATTGATAAAAGAGAGCCTAAAAGACTCTTTGACAACAGCAAGAAGTATGACACATCAAGTACAGTTGGCGGTAAACACCAAAACCCAGGCAAAAGCAAACAGGTGCCTCTACCTTCTACTGGCCTCTCTTCCTTCTTAACGGAAGTGAATCATAGTGTTCGGATATTGTTCTTTTGTTAAGTATGAAAGAAAAACGAGCCGCACCTACAAGACAGATTACTGAAGAAATCAAAAGAAAATGCAAACAATCTGATGAGGGGCCGAATTTGTTTATGTTGACGAGTATTTAATGATTCAAATCTGTAACAAGTGCAAAATCAATCAACTGAATGATATCTTCATTGTTGAATCAAAGCGAAGAGTACACTCTGTCCTCAAATGTGAATCTTGTGGTACGGCTTGGAATCGCGATGTGAACGGTGCATTAAATATATATGATATCTTTGTTTACAAATCAAAACATAACAATGAAAGTCTTCCCTCCTTCGCAGGATCTACAAAAGACTAACGGCGCTCCCTGAATTTAATGCGCTGTTCGTAAACAACAGTGCATTTCTTAATATCTCGACAAGTATAAAACGATAATATATTATTTTTTACTCATTATTTTTCTAGTTATGCATAAAGAATATAATAATAAAACTAAAGACTAAAATTACGGTAGATTCCCACGTTGAGTTACATCTGCATCTCCTTCCAGTGCCTTGGATTTTCCACGAAGCTTATCCACATAGGAGGTATCAATAAAGTACTCTGCCAAGATCACTTCAAGTTCTTCTACTCTTGAGCTTAACTCGCTATTCTTATTGCGCTCTTTACGTAGCATATCATATATTGCTTGAATATCTGCAGAAACAGGAGTTGTTGTCTTTTGATAATCAGTTGTCTTGTCATTGAGTGAAGGCAGACTAAATGGATCTCTAGAGACCTTTGGGCTTTCGTTGGATTTACCGAAAGGATCAGCCATTAAAGCCTCAAATGAGGTGCTGTTGGTATTTTGATCATGAATAGAACTATCTGGTACAAATACGTTTTCTTGGATAGGTGTTCTATTAAATTCTCTAAGTTCGGCTGCTCCTTTATCTGACCCGGTTGTCGAATCACTTTCTCTTCTCTGTTTCCTTATCATCGTTTTGCTTCGCTCTCCACTGCGGAAGAACCACGGTAGTATGGATGACGTGGAGGAAGCATATGTGGTATACTTATTGTCTTCTGCTTCTTGACCAGACATGTACATTTCGGTATTGTCTTGTTTGCCTTTCTTTTGTTTTCGGTTATTGATCATAACTGGTACATGATGAACCAAGCCCCATGGTGTTAATCTTGTCATGCCGAAAAGAATAATATATATAGTGGTAAGAACTCCATAACAACCACCTGCCATGGCAAGAGAAGCAAGCAATGTATGCTGTCTTACTTCTGACTATTAATTATATAAATAATGTGTGTAACTAGCATCTTGTACAATTACCATCACATCAATAGTGCTTTGGGCTAACTGGACAGACATGAAACCATGGTATGACTAAACAAATAAAATAAGAAAATCAGGACATAATTTGCTTGTGGTACGATGACGATCTTACGGTTCTGTTGACGATTGAGTTGGGAGGTGAAGGCGCGAGTGGCCAGTTTTGTTGGAAGATTGAAAGAGTATGAATATCTACATAGTTTGGTGTCTATAGAATTTTTGTTAATTATTTAGAAATAAAAGATAAATTGCATTACAAAGCCAAAAATTGAAGCTGCATCGTGTGGTTTAATAGCGCGGTATCGCTTTGGGGTATAGAATATGGATGATGAATAGTTCAAAAAAGTAGTTGCCCTATTAGCACCCAGTCTAATATTGGTGAGCATTCTTTGCTACATCACATAAATGTCAGACAGGGCACATGCACACACCGCCACAATTTTATTTTACCTCTACAGGTGTGTCACCGATTGTGTACTTCTTCCATGGACTAAATTGTGGATCATACAGTTGAACGGCTATTGCTGGAGTTGAAATAGAAGCGTAAGAGATGTTCTGTAAGTCATCAATCTTCCAGTAAAAATCAATTCTTCTCATCGCCTCTCTGTTATCATAAGCAAAGCCCGTTGCCATGCTCATCGTGCCGTTGGTCTCAAAAATATAGCATCTAGATGTATCGCCTGTTGACTCTCCCGCACGGAAAAATCTTGTCCAACAGTCATTTAATGGGATCGTTGTCCAATTAAAGAACATCCCCGAGCAATGTACCATATGCATAGTTGTGTTTTGCACACAAAACTCAATATCGGGCGTATCAATCTTGTTAGTGATCGCTTCTGATGATGTTTGGATTAATGGTCGATCATGATACATCTATTGTTTGCATTAGGATCAAGACTAAAATCGAGTTATTGATAAATTACCAAGTTGATCAAGTATCCACAGAAAGCTAAAAATGCTAAACCCATTGTAATAGCAGTGGCGCCTCTACTGTAGACAAGAGCTCTAGGCTCCAAAGGCTATACAAAAAAATAGGTTAATTTTGTAGAAACCGTGATCATTTGTTCTTACTCTTCTATAGCATGCTTCAGGTATAAAATGCATAAACTGAAAAAAAAAGCTAAAGAAAATAAAAGAGATACAAGAAAAACCTTTTTTTTTTTTTGGTTTTCATCAATTATACGCTGTACCTTGTACAACAATCTTTTTGAAATCTTTGATTTATCAGATTTAAATTATATCTATTATTAACTATATTTATTTCCTACTCGGGGTATGTCTTTTTCTCCAATAGATGTCCCTTATTCTGTTCTTTTTACTTTTGCTTTAACGTTGCGTAGATATTACATGCATGCTACTCATGCATACGTCGATAATAAAATGGTGCGCAGATTGTATCACCTGAGGACAAAAGCCACAACCGTTTAGACCAAAAAGAATTTGTGTGGTAAGGCGACGATAGACTTACATCACTTCAAAGTCAAAGCATACATGATATTCATAAGAGGCTAAACATGCATAGATTAGCGTTTGATAGGAATAAGAAGATCAAAGCGTAGATTTCTTAAAAACTCTTATTTTGTGATGAACATTTTACGCTTAGATGGACTTGATACTTTAGATATAAGATTATCCTCCTAGGATGGGTTCTTGTTCGTCACGAGGAGCCCAGTATTTGCGAATAAGAGTGTAGTCATGGAAATGACTAGTTGGTTTCCAAGTTTCATCTTCTTCATTGTGCCTTTTCCAACGAGCTCTATATAGGTAGTTACCCTGTGTACCTTTGCAGTGTAGAACTGTTTCAACTTCCAACGATTCAAGTTGGTCTATTTTAGTTGAAGGGTATTTCCTGAAAAATAACCTTTATATGCGATAGAGGTGCATCTCTTGGTAGGAGAGCTCCAGTAATATCAAGTAAGACGTAAGAGCCACCTTGTGTCTTTTGTTTAACAGTGTAGTTACCAACGTAGAGAGGATCACTTTTTGCAATACGATTTAGCTTGGCAACAGTCATTAATATAATTCACTGGATACAATTGGTTGACAACATTATTTTTAAAGGTCAGTTTCTTTTTTGCCATGTATCTCTTCCTTACTCTATTCATAAATTATTACAGAGACTCATTCCATCTTCACTGTATTTTCTAATTCTCCGAGTTATACAGTCTTTCCGGAAAGTAAATTTTTTTTTGTAAAATGGTATATTTTATTCAAGTACCGCCAGTTAGCTTGTACTTATTAAAGAAAATAATAAAGAGCATAGAAGCACGGAACAAAATAAAGGTTGCGTTAACCTGAGCGAGATGTTTTTAGACACTCTCTATAGATATTCTCATCATGTATTCGCTTGATTGCTTGAGCTGCTCGTGCAGCAGCTTCATCGGGCCAGAAGGTACGACCATCAAATACAAAACGCCAATGACACTGCCAGATAGCCCAGACCGTACAAGCAATGATTGTTTGACCATCAACACGTAGCCCTGAAAGCACTTGAATACGTTTAGACGAGCCTAAGGCCAGGGATTCATAGGCAAGTCTCGCAGTAGCCCGGAAAGTAAATTCGCCTGTGATCGAAAATAAATGCACCCAATGGTGAGAACAAAATTCATGTTGTATGAAATGTAAATTCGTCGTTACCAAGAATATTTTCGTAGTATCAGCCTTGACATCCATGTACTGTATTTCCAAATTGAGATGTCGTATTGAAACCATTGTAATGTTATCAGAGTAATAACAAATACAAAAAGAATATGGCTCACTATCTCATTTAACAGTAAGCAATTGCAGTACTTGACAATTTATTGAAGCAAAATTTCGCCTTGTATGGGTTTAAAACCCAATAAATCCAATACCTCCAACTATTACTCCAGGAGCATGAGTTCATGTACAACAGTCAAATTGTAAGTTTTAAACTCGAAATTTGCACTTGAATTAGTTGGAAAAAAAATTAACTTTAAACGTAACAGAGCTGCGATTATTGCTTCATCAGGAAGCATAAATCAATTCATATCAATTGGATCGAATGTACAAATCAAAAGAGAGTCAGTTGGAGATCGTGCTTTATACTTCTTTTTTGTTATTTATCGCGCGGGATCGTATATCTTGAGATTAATCTTGCTAATGATGGTCCGTACAGCTTGAAAAAATTAAATGTGTGGGACATTGAAACTCCAATCATTTTGAAGAGTTTTGATATTTGTTGAACGTCCCAGTACCAAATAACAACTAACTAGTGCAGACTGTTGGGATAATTATAAGAGGTAGGAAAGCACAAGTTGATTAAACTGGATTGTACAGTCCTGACCTTGTACATGCAAGAAGTAATACATGAGATCTTTCAACTTCTACCTCCCTTTTTATAATGGGCTTGAAGCACTTTATGGACTATACAAAACGATAAGATTGAAGGAACTTCCTCTTCAATCTCTCTTTCAGTATAATTGAGCCCTCTTCAATTTTCCTTCATTCATTGATTACAGTAACAGAAATGAGGAAATAAAAGCTGTTGTAATAGATTAAGGTAAATTCTTTATATTAAATAACTATATCATAAAATTCGAATGTAAATGAAGGCATTATGCAGATAATGACACTATTTTCTCCTGCAGTATAATAGTACATAAGAGTGTATCTCTTTTCGTTTTAAAACAGCAAGTTTATGCTCACAATAGGTTGAGCAGCACTTGCTCTGATCAGCACTAAATGTGCAATACACAAGAGGGTGCACAGCAAAGGCATAGCTTGGCGATTCCGTCACATCAATCTATAAAGATACTCTCTTTTCCTTTTTTCTTTACTTCAACATGAAGCGAAAGAAAGACGATGATCCTCTGCCCTCAAAGACAAAGCGAATCAAAAGGAAAGGTATGTAAGCTATAAAGCCAATGTAGCGTTTAAAGATCCAGTAGTCGCTGATCGCGGGCTCTCTTCTTTATTTGCACAAACATAAACAAATCTATTCAAGAATGCATTTTATAAAGCAAGTGATGATGACTTTCAAGAAACGCCATTACTTAGAAAAGGTAAAGGCAACGTCATTAGTTCCATTTGTTTTATAACTGAACGTTGTAATAGGCAAGGAAATCTGTATTACTTTGAAAGCTTCTACAGAAGATATATCTGGCCCTGGCCCTTCAAATGTTGCCATTAGTGAAAAGACATCTATGCCTGCAGTCAACAACAAAACGGATGTTCAAGTTGCATTATCTGTTCCTGCTCCTTCCACTAGCTATACTTCTGCTCCCATAAAGGCTTCTAAGAAATATAAAGCAAGACTGTTAAGACTCAAGCATTCAAAAGGAGGAAGAAAAGAACATAACAATGAAAGCCCTCCCCTTCAAATGGCCCGCAAAAGACTAACGGTGCTCCTGAACTTTATGTGTTGTCCATAACAGCAGTGTGTTCTTTAACACCTCGGTAAGTATAAAGCATTAATACGTTATTTTTTATTCATTAGTCTTCTAGTTAATTGGATATTACATAATGATCTTCCTTCAAATACCCCCTTTTTTTTTCTTCATTAAAATAAATAATTGAAGAGAAGAGAGGCCATTCTTCTTGATCACAAGATTAAGGCTACTGCTTTTTTGTAACCTTTTCTCTAAGCTGTATAAATATCATAGTATAAAGTTGAGCGTACTAAAGGGCCATGTTATCAACAGAAAGAAAACATATTTGATGAAATATAACTTTATCTAAACAATTAACATAAGAGAGAGAGAGAGAAGCGGAATGAGTCATTTAAACTTTTGCTGATAACCTTAGTGTAATTCGCCTTTGCACCTAGTCTGAGGTGCAATGTATATGTTTTTTATTACTATGATTGGAGCGTATGAACTTTGCCAAAATATTTGAACTTTCAATTTAATTAAAGTATTGTATATCTCTCAGTGATCGAGGCTAAAATATTATTAAGGAGTAAAGGTTGATATCTAAGAAAGATTAAACAATAGAGCGCATGAATGCTTGATCGCCCGATCTAATGAGCATCTAATAAAGCTTAATTAATGAATTAAAAGGGGGCATTATGAAGTGTGTTTCCGTTTGTAGCAGTCAATGATAAACTAAAGCGCAACGTATCTTTATATTGAGCAAAAATGTATCTTGAGCATGAACTCATGATCGAAAAGGAATATTAGCACAAACGACTGTTTATACGAGATGTAGATTGCCCTCTTTGTTATTTACGTGATTCAAAGTGCTTTGTATGTTAGATTAAAAAAGAGATTTTGATGTTTATCCTATTGCTATTATTATTTACGAGAGCGCATCCTCTTGTTACCTCCTATCAAAGGGAAGATAAGCATGACCAAGGAAGAGCAGCGGTAGCCTTAATAAAGGAGTTGTAAATAAACTATGGACCTATTCCATTTTTATTCTTAACCTTACGCCGTAAAAAAGGGAAGGACATCTCACAAGGACAGCTGCAGACATAGGTTTTATCATTTGTATTACTAAAGATAAAATATGGCTTCGTATACTTGTTGTCATATCCTCGTTAACACTCATCTTTCGTCGCCTGTTCATTTTAGTTGATTACATTCCGATTTAGGTAATTGGTCTGAAGTGGGGATATACACATTCTAGAAGTGAGACACTATCCCGTGATAACATCAAGCTACATAAAAGCCTAGCTTCTAGTAATTTCGATCCAACCAAAGAAGCTATGCGTAGAAAGATTTTACGTTAATTGAAGTCAAGAGTCGAAAAGCATTCGGAATGCTTAAAAAGTTTAATAACAAGTTGCAACTCAAACTGCTTAAAGGAACATGTGAACAAGTTTGTGTTACTGTGCCATGTTGTGCATGTGTACAAGATTCCACGTTTAAAAGATGAAAAGGATTAAAACATTTATAAAAGTAATACTTGGGCATGTTTAAATAGTAATGGCAAAGAATGGGAAAGGGGTAATATATGAATGAACCTCTTTAATAATTCATCAGCTTTCTGCCTTATCATAATTAATAAATTTTATGTGATGCACATGGTATTATCCATCGATAGGCCTTATCTAACGTTTTTGAACCAAACAGCTATTAGCCTTCCATCGGAATACGACAGGCTTCTTTTGAGTAACCTTTCAAAAAAAAGTGGTAGCAGATTAATCAAAGAACAGCGGAACGGAATCGCATATCTGTGATCAATGCCGTTCAATTTACGGGTGTAGTCCTATGCATATAATATAGAGTCTTCTAGTTAACATGCAGAGTGATTCTATAAAACAAATATAATGGTTTGAATGAGTTGCGATAGAGCGCTCTTTTGAGTACAAGAATAGTATAATGTTAAGTTATCTATAGAGCTGGAGGAACAATGTAGCTATTTCAAGGAGATTTTGACCATAAAAAAAATTGTAGTATGCTGTAATTGGTCTAGTTCATACAAGAGGGAGTAAAATGATCGACCATCGGTAGGTCCATAAGACTGCAATGTTGGAAGAATTTTAAAAAAGGAGCGGCAAGGGATCTGTCATGTTAGAACATCAATGCATTTTCGAGCAGCTAAAAGCCTAATGCTTAGGTAGACATTAACGGTTTTGATCTTCAGCAAATGGATGTAAACGTTGTCGCATAAACAGAATATGCTCTCCACAAATGGCACACTGAAGCACTTTGCTTGAGTGATAGTTATGAGTAGATAGGTATGATCAAATAGAGATATACATTTTATATCGCAAACCTCACATGATACAAACCTTTTGGTTATATATTTGAATTTGGCTGCTTGTATGTACATCTGTTCCATCATGTAAAGCCAAAGGCGAGGTTATTGTACACTACGTGGCCCTGTCTATTCGATCTCAGCTGACAGACGATGTCAGACGGTCCAAGTTTAATGTTTTTTATAAAAGAATGGTAGCTATTTTCTATTGCTTTTAATGTTTTTACAATTACTTAAGTATTGAAGCTTTATATATATATGGTTAAACGTTTTAAAGCTGAATAGCTTAATGAGACACATATTGGTCATTTCAACATTGACATGCGCAGCGGTTAAAAAGCTTGAGCCTAATCGTCACTGAGGCAAGTAAGGTAATAAGAAGAGGCCAAAAGGTATTATGCAATCATTCAAAAACAGTAGGCAAAGTAAAGGATAAACCACTTGTACACATAATCTAGAATATTTATAATATACACGGTTTCTATAAAGTCCAGGATTGGTGCAGAAAAAGTTGTAATTCAACTACGAAAAGACACTCGGTATCAAAAAAAAAAAGAAAGCTTAAACAAAATTTTTGACATATAGATTTGCTAGAAAAGAGATAATATTCAATCAATCTTGCTTTCTTTCGTAGTTGCCATAGCATCATGAGAAAAAAAAATGGCTTCCATGGTTACATTGAAATGACAGATGCTTTTAATAAAAAGGAAGCAACTCCAATTTTGGAAACTTGCTGCACTTTTTAAAAATGCTACACCTTTGGCTGAGAAGCAAAAAAAAAAAAGTACAACAAGGCGGAAAGAGAGAGAATAAACGAAGGAGAGATAGGTAAAAAGTTGATTCTGTATGTAAAGACTGGTTTAGGTTGGGGTGCCAAACTGCCCAATAAAAACAACAACGCGTGTAAAGTCTGGTGACAGTCTATGGATTTTCCCGTGACAATATGCATAATGGCTCATTTTGTATGGAGATAAAAAGAACTAACCTCATTCTGTATATGCATGCTTCTTCTTTGCCATTTATTTTATTGTAATACAGACAGTAAGCCCACAGAATGTCGTACACGGTCCAAATTTCCTTAAAAAGTTTCTTTTTGAGTTTTCCCCTTTCCTCTTTTAAAACTCATCATGTAGAAGATACACAAAAAGACAGGTGGGTTCATAAACATATTTATATTAGAAAAAGGGCCCATTTTTTTCTTTTTCTTTTTTTTTCTTTTCTTCTTTTCTATTCATTTTTGCAGGCAAGTTGCTATCGTTGAGTCTGTCGTCAGAGCATTAAACTATTTTATTTCAGGGCAAAAAAAAAAATCAGATGACCACCATAGTCAAGCCTACGATTAAATTACCACCTCGTAATAATAATAAATCACTGAATAATACCATTCGAGCATCATCGCAACAACAACAGCAACAACAAGATATGTCGCTTAAAGAAATATTTTTTGAAGACACTGAAAACAGAGTTTCAGATATCGAAATTCAAAATTTACTGCAAGAGTTTAAACCCATTCAGTAAGCAATCTCTCTCTTTCTCTCTTATTATATGCAAAATCATGTATTCATTTTTTTATATAGAATTAAGAGAGAACGAGGCGGCGGATATTTAAGCTTCCAGGATTCCAAAATTGGTAAGTGACAAGGGTAATCGCTTTGTGTATGTATTTTTTATCAATATATCCACAGCTGAAAAAGTCTACGCATTCTTTAATGGTTACATCTTTCCATCGAGCAGCGTCACATTCAATCTCTCTTTAAGTGGTTTACAGCCAGAAGGCCCTTTTCTCGAAATAAGAAATTTATCGCTTCATATCGATCATCATCAACTTTATGATCTCTGCCGTCCTTATGGCTTACTCAGTATGTGTAAAGTGATTACAGAAGATAACGCTCAGAAAAAGAGGGCTCTAGTACAGTATTTTACAAAACAAGATTCAGATATAGCACAGAATACTCTGGTAACAAAAGTTAAAAGATTTTTTTTTCAAAGAGATGTAACCATTCCCTTTTCATGTTATAGAATAGTAAAATGATCGAAGGAAGTTCCATGTAAGTTTTTTTTTTCATAAAGCTTAACAAAAGAAAGAAAGAGAAAAAAAAGTTAGACAAACAGAACAAGCAAACAAAGTTCCCCAGATATGCAGCAAAGCACAAAAAAAAAAAAGATATATAAATAACATACAAAAAAAAAAAAACTTTTTCAAATATATTCTCTTTGCTTTCTTTTTCTTTACATATTCCATATACTCATACCCTTATTTTATTACCATAGTCAAGTAGCAGTGCTGATGGCAAGTCATGTATCAAATTCTCGGTATTCTACTGTAAGTATATCTTAAAGCATATCTCTATCAGACACTGATGACACAACAGCAACAACAACAACCACAGCAATTTGTAGAAAAAACCCAAAATGGACATACCGGAGGAGGATTTGTGGACCTTATGAATCTCTATGTTAAAAACCTTGATCCTACTATTAATGACATTGACCTATTCAATCTATTCCGTCAATTTGGACGTATTGTCTCAGCTCGAGTGATGACCAATCCCGCGACCAGACAGTCCAAGGGGTACGGTTTTGTCAGTTACGGAAAGCCAGAAGAAGCCGCCTTGGCCTTGAACCAAATGGATGGCATGTTGGTGCGTTCTAAACAAATTATCGTTGCTTATCATGAACCAAAAAAGCCCCGACAGGAAAAATCATCTTCCACCACCACTTCATCTTTTCATTCTCCTCCTTCCACAGCTCCCCCTATGGAGTATGTCACCGCTCCTTATTTTGAGACAAGGCATCCACACGAAGGTAACCTTGGGTTTGAGAATTTGTATATGTGTGTATATATTGATGGGCGCAGCCGTAGGCCCCGTTCACGGTTTAGGAATAGAAAATATGGATCAAATCACGTTGAAGGAACTATCCGTTGGTACCACAATACCCATGCAGCGAAAGGTATCATCCCCCTTTTTTTGAGCCCGACGTGGAAAGATTGTACTGATTTTTTTTATACAGATTTCTTTGGCTGACATCGGGTACCATCCGCCTAACCGTACATCACCACAGTTTCAAACTTCTCGACCTTCACTGGCCTCACTTGCCTCTGGTGCAAGTATTCATCCGGTACCACATCATCTTGAACATGTGCCTGAAGAAAGAACGCTTCGACGTAAAAAGTCACTTGAGTCTGTCAGCTCGGTCATGACGGAATCAAGCGCGCAAGTACAAAGAATCAAAATGACAGAGGCTGTGAAACGTTGCGGGTCGTTTGGATCGGAACTTGATGATATAGTTGACATGCTTCTAACACTCAAGCGCAAAGAACGATCTATATGCTTATTTAATCCAGATTTCCTAAAGGAAAAAATTAACGCTGCTATTGAGGCGTTAGAGATCTTTGACGATAAACAGGAAGAGCCTGAAGTTGTTGTTCGGTAAGTGTACACAAATGCGCATTTATGACAGGTTATTTATATTTGCGCGAATATATGCTAGAAAACCTTCCCTTCCTAAAAAAGTCACAATATCCCCATCATGTCTCAGAGACCATGCGATCATACCTCCTCCTCGTACATCCAAAGCTATACCCATTGTTGCACCTCCCTCGCCTGAAGAAACAGCAAAGATGACAGAAATCAAAAATCTTTTAAACTCATTTGAAGGAAAGCCCATCCACGAAAGAAAGCAGTTACTAGGTGACCAATTATTCCCCTTAGTGAAGGTATGTATAATACGACAACAGTAACCAAGTTAACTAACTGGATTATCATTAGGCTACTGGAGTTAAGCATGCACCCAAAATTACCATTCGATTACTCGATACGATCGAACTTGAAGAATTGGCCAAAATCATGTTTAATAAGGACCTGCTAAAAGCTCAAGTCGATAAAGCTGCCGCTGCTAACGCTGCTGGTAGTCATTCATAGAACACACTTTTATATTATTATTATCATTATGAATATCAATAATTACTTCATCTCATTTCTCTATTATCTTTTTAATTAAACTTGTTGTCCTGGTAATATATATATGTGCTTGCCTTGGTGTGGTAAATCATATATACACGAGTGTGTATTCCAGGTTGCTAATAAAGGGAACAGATTAATGGTAGGTTGTTGAAATATACTCAGTGACAGTCTTTATGAAAAATGATTCGTGCTTTTGTCGTAAAAAGTTCAATATTTGCATTTCAGGGCACAAGCTCTAGCTCTCTAAAAGTATAAATGCTACAAGATATAATAGGCATTATTACAACATCTCTTTTATTGTGTCAGTTTTCTTTCACTTGTCTCATTTTCTTTTTGCATAATTTCTGTAAATTCCTGACGATTATAAAATGCCCGGGCGCGCTCCAATCCTTTAAAGTAGTGAATGGGTATATGATCACGAATAAAGAATGGGTAAAAGGACTCGACAAGGGAAATGGGATCGATGCCCAGCCGATTAAGCGCGTTTTTTGCCCAGGCAGAGTACCCATAATCCTGTGTCTTGGTATATTTGTTGGTGGATCTCAAAAAGTCCTTTTTGGCTTTTCCATAAGACCAAATGCCTTTCCAGGAACCAGGGACGATCGAAACCTTCATGTTGGATTGGTAGCTTGACGGATAGATCTTTAAAGGTCGTGGGTTTAGAATGGGGTGAGTAATTTCAACAGCATGACCGATATGAGAGTAATTGAAGAAATCGGTTGTAGGTGCATAATGGCCAATGGTCATGTTGTTATAGCCAGGAGGGATACGACAGATAATGTCGCACCGGTTGATAACTCGCCAGAGGGTAGACGTGCGTTTGAGTGGTGCGTTTGAGTAGGATGCAAACATGGATGCAAAGTCACTATCGCCTACAGCAGGTGTGCCAAGTACATAACAGTCTCGGAGACAGCAATAAGGCTCGATATCTTCAGGACACTTGAGCCAACGAGCAAACAAGAGGGAACCCATCGCGGCGCCCAACGAATGGCCTGTGACCCAGAGTTGAACAGGATCGTTCGTGCCAAGGGCGGAACGAATCTGTTTGGCACGTTCTACTACAGCGGTTTGAATTGCAAAGTATGGGTCCTTGCCATCCTCATCGTCGGAGTGAGCGGGAAACAAGCTGTCGTAAAAGCCTTCATGAGCCGAACCAAAGAGGTAAGCGCGTGCATCTGTGCGCTGTAAAGTGGCGTCCACCAAAAACTCACTGTAGTTCGTGGGAGTTGTGCCCTTGAAGGATACGATGATCACCGGATATTCATTGGACCAGTACAGTCCACAGAATGGTCCTCCGAGTGACTTTAGTTCGGTTACGCCTGCAAATTGCAAGCCATAGTGATGCGCGATATGTCGAATGGGTGCCTCGGATTCCCAGACAAGTCGCCTTATGGATGATTCAATATGGTCCTTCTGTTCCGATTTTGCATTCAAGTCGGCTACAGACCTGTAAGCCTCTGTTACTTTATCGTCGTCACGTTCATATACAAGAGAAGCAAGAACGGTCATTGCTTGGGCAATACTTATGTCAAATACGCGGTGTCTGTGATCTGTGCCTTCTGCTGGCGGTGAGCTAAGTGAGGGGATTGTAGTTCTTACAAGACTGCTTGTCTGTTGAGAGAGCAAGAGCTCAGGTGCACCTAATCAAAACAAAGAGGGGGTAATCAGTAAGAATTATTGCTGTCAACTACGGTCCTCGTATACCCCAGTTAATCATTCCAAATCCTAATAAAAGTGAGTAGGTTGCCATCTCCATTTTAGTAGTCTACTTACCGCTTCCGTAATCCCGACTGATTAATTTCACAAGGTGGCTTCCGCCTAGCCCGTCCATGAATAGCTTGAGCCCCAACTCAAAGGCCAAAAGAATGCCACTGATGATAGGATACGATATCAGAAAGGCCAAAGAACTTAAAGGAGAGGTAACAATGGCAAACCAGTTAAAGTAAAAGGAGAGAAAGAGGTTTTTGTAGACGCCTATCACGTATCGCCAGTAACCGCTGGGACGATACTTGGGTTTAGACCGTACATGGTAGATGAAATAAATCAGCCACTCCGTCAAATTGCTTGGGCTTGATGGAGTGAAGATATCCGCTGGTTGGGTGGACATGATCTCTTCAGCGTGCTCTTCTTCTGGTTGTGTCATTTGTAAATAATAAAAAAGAGAAAGAAAAAAGAAGAAGCTATAGTGTCATATGTTTGCAAAAAGATAAGCAAAGAAAAGAGACAGCGGCTAATTTTTAAAAGCCAAAGCTGTACTATTTTTATCATGATCGTTGCTATGCGCCTGCTTTTCACAGAGGTCGTGTTACCATCGAGATAACCTCACTGCTCTTTTATGCAAACTATAAATCTCGTGAAGGGCAATATATTACTTTTTTTTTTTTTTTTTTTTTTTTTTTTTTTTTTCAAAAATATAAACTATAAAAAGATGACTGATCAGGGTTGAAAGTCTATTACATCAGCATCAAAAGAAGTACTTGAACTTATTGAGTCATGCACCTATCCTTTAAATATTATGCTTTTGTTTGTTGATGATATAGAAAAAGGCAACATAAACAGTAACATATACTTGTTTATGTAATGTGATCACTCTCTCCCTTCAATAGTGTTTTATTCATCAATGCATCTTCCAGTACGTGTCGACCTCTTAGATAAATGGGATAATGTATCACGCTACCAGATCACATGTGCTTTAAAATAGCAATCTATTCAATCTGTCCTTTTCCTTTTTTTTTTTTTTTAATGCTAGGACAAGATCCAAAGGTATATAAATATTGCTTAAGAAACTACTACTCATAACTTGTGAATATCAAAAGGAAGTAGTCAATCACGCTACAAGACTGTCTTGGTTCCTTCAAGAATGCTTGACACTTGGAACGCTTCGAGTAAGTTCCGCTCACATCGGGAAACTTGTATCTAAAACGTATGATTCAGGGGTTTCGTCATTTTGATACTTTTATGAGAGGAAGAGAAGAGCTTGTATTACGTGTTTATTCAATAACTCAGTCACCTACTTGCTCAACCTTACTGCCTTCTGAAATAGACAGGTAAAGAAAAGCAATAAAAAAAAGTTATATCTCACCGTATGGATTATAGTCGATCTATTTTGCCTCTTCCTGAATTAACAAGTCCATTGGATGAGGATCTAAGCAGAGTAAGTCATATACCCTTGAAGAATACGCATTCATCCTTGAAATAGGAAACAGAAAGGACTGTGTTTTTAATTACTGGTTACGCAAAATATCGCTGCCCCTACGTTTGGGTATAAAGACTATTGATCATGTGTAAACTTCATCTAACGAAAAAAAAGCTGAGATCCCATAAAGAGCTGCTTATTGAGCATAATGAAAGTGATAAAGAGAACCCACTCCAGCTGACCACGACAGATGAATGGAAGATAAAAGGTAGATATGAAAATTTGTCTTTTTTCTTTTTATCTTTATGTGTTATATATTTAGATATCAAGCTGTGGCAAATAGTAGCTGAAATCATCTTCCTTACTATTCATGCTGATAATCCATTTGAAATCGATTTTGACTTTCTTGAACAATTACCGGCTCAAGAGTCTCGGTTACTGAATCATTCGTTACTAAAGTTTCTTGAGGCTGTTTATGTTCAGTCAGACGATTCATTTGTCGATAAAGGTAATATATTAATATACATGTACTTGTATTCATAAGCATGTATAGTGTATCAAGATATAATCAAACTTCAATCAAGGCAGATAGAGTCATGGTTCAGATTGTGATGAAAAATAAATAAATAGCGACTTGGCTATTTTTAGGAAGAAAATAAATGTTTGGACCCTTTTTTATTCGTTTCTTTTTCTTTTTCTTTTTATTGACATCATGGACGCGACTATACTTCCTTTAGAATTCCAATTGTTATTCAATTATAAGCTTGAAGAAGAAGAAGAAGGCGAAATATTAAAGAGTAGGAATAGAATGCTCCCTGTATTCAAAGTGGAATTAAATCAAGTATCTATCTATCGATTAATTCATCACGAATATGACAAACACTATATATCAGCAGGACAATTATTCCAAGCCTGTGGTTTGACAATCACTGAAGGCCTCTTCTTATTCGAGTTGAAGTTATCAGATTTTGAAGTCGATTTCTTGAATAGTCAGTTCCCCTTTTGTGACATTTGGGTATCTGTTGAGATGGCCAAAAGTATGGCAAGTGCTCTTGGTGTTGATTACGAATTGAGCCTGTTGCTAGATAACGCACTAGATGACTGCTATTCGAGTGATAATGTCAACAGAAACGAAATGATGCATAATTGGATCGTGCCTTCTATACCACACTTGCAATATTCGACAAGAGCCTTGCTAGAGACAAGATTTGAACAGGTCGAGATGTTATCGTCCAATCGGAAGATACGAACACAAATATCGAGGATGAGACAAAGAGGGATTGTGATGAAGGATAAGACACAGAATGGACTTGTTCGATGGCAAGTGACAGCGTATGAGCATCATTTGACAAAGCAGGATGTTTGGGTTGACTATGGATCTATATGGGATTCAATGCAAGGATTACTATTTGATCTTCAGACACTAAGTCGAGAAGGAAGGCTAGTAAAGAATGAGCGTGTGTTACCGAATAATATTATGGTGGGTAATATGCCATTGAAAAGAGATCATTTGAATCATCAGCATGGATTACAGCAAGTGTATATAGGATATATGATTGAAAAGATGATGAACGAACTGAATAGAATATCCTTAAAGGATCATAATACCCAACCTATTGAGAATAGCACTAGTCATCATATTGTATTTCATGACAGGCTAGATATGATTGAACAAGAATTGTACAAGATGAAAAAGAAGGGAAATAAAAGAATTGAAGAAATTGAAGTCTTACAGCAAAGATGTATTCAACAATTGAATGAAATTAATAATTGGAAAATAAAATTTGAAAAAACTAGACAATCTGAACGCATTTGGATATTCTTGTTTATTCTTTCTGCTCTCTTTATCGTCTATTATTTGTACAAGATCAATATTACTGTTAAATAAACCTATTTTTTATATCTATTTGAGCGGAAGATCAATGTTCTTTTTGTCATTATGTTATTTAAATGAATTTGTTCTATTTTTTTTAGCCTTTTCTTCTTTCTTAGATATATTTACACTATGCCACCGAATGAATACCATGATACTATAGAATTAATATCTAATACAGAGAACAACACACTTCAGATACCAAAACATAGACATACGAGAACAGGATCTAGTTCATCTTTTATTCATTTCAGAGCACCATTGCATGAAGAATCTCAACCAATGGCGAATCCTAATCAGCTGGCCTCTCAAGTAAGTTGAAAGAGTGATATTGGGATATAGTTAACATTGTTATTATTATTATAGGCATTACCTTCATTAATTATCTGTATTATTGGATTAACAGCCGCCGGTTGGATGATGGATATCTATCAAGTAAGAACATGTAAATATACGCAAAAAGAGAGAGACTTATTATAATAATAATAGCATTGGGAAGTATTTACACAAGTGTCAGAACTATTCATTCTAGTACCAGTATTACTCAACTTGAAAGGAAACCTCGAAATGAATCTAGCTGCTCGTTTTTCAACATCGGCTAATATGGGGCAATTGGATCATCCTGATACTCGGAATGCCCTTGTCTGGGGTAACATGGCTCTTATCCAAGTCCAAGCACTTGTCTCTGGTTCTATCGCCGGTATCTTTTCTCTTCTACTCGGTCTCTTACTTCATCCTGATGAAACAGTGACGATCAGTAATATCATCCTTGTCATCTCAAGCTCCATGGTGGCTGCTTCCGTATCTAGTTTTGTGCTGGGATTATTCATGTGTATTTTAATCATCATTAGTCGCATATTAAAAATAGATCCTGGTACAAATACTCTCTTTTTAAACAAAACGTAAGATTGACCATTGCTTTAGATAATATTGCTTGCCCCATGGCCTCTTCTTTAGGTGATGTTGTTACACTGGCCATTCTGGCTGGTTGTGCCAATCTTTTACTAGATAAAACAGGTAACTGAACACACTTTTTGAAAGAAGATCCCTTTTTATTAATTTGTACCACCTTCTATTTATAGTATCCAACTTGGGCTCATGGCTGCTCTTCATCATGTTTAGCTCGATACCCTTCTTTGGCTTGGCTGTTTGGAGAAATACACATGTCAGAGGTCTACTCTTCACCGGATGGACACCAATTGTAATTGCCATGCTCATTTCTAGTGGCGCTGGCTTAGTCCTTGAAAGATATGTTGAACAATATCAAGGCTTAGCTATGCTAACGCCTATCCTCTGTGGATTGGCTGGCAACCTTGGTTCAATTTATGCATCACGTATCAGTACTTGTTTACATAAGGGTGTTCAAGAACAGTTTAGACGAGTCGAATGGATCTTGTTATCAATGAATGTGCCTATCCAATCATTATTTCTCGCTATTGTCTGGTTTATAGATATTGGTCATCTTGACTTATCACTTGCATTTGCTATTACTTATTTTATAGTATCCGTCATATCTGTAAGTCAATCATCATCCCATCAAAGAATTATTAAGAGTAATGTTTTTTTAGACTCTCGCTGCACTCAAAATGGGTAAATCAATGACATTAGCCTTTTGGAAATATAAATATGATCCAGACAATTATGTATTACCTTACCTGTAAGTTTAAATATAAGGGGATGGTTGTTTATTGACAACTTTATATATATATAGAACGGCTATTATCGATGTCATCTGTACAAGCTTACTAGTCATATCTTTCAGCTGGTTAACTGCGACTGGATATGCACACTTACATGAACCTATTTGATACCTCACTCTTTTATTATTATAGACTTTTTTTATACATGTAGTCATTTACCCCATTTTCACACGATACAAAATTCTTTTTCTTTTTTTTTCTATAATGCTTCGTTTCATTAATAAATCACCTAATTTATTTCAACTTCGTACAATTACTTCAAAGGCTATAGAAAGACCTCACTCACATGCCTTTTATGACGACAAAATAACTACAGTAAGTACACCACTTATTCAACAAAAATACTGACTTTTTGTTAGTTTGCCAGTAAACCAGTTAAGCCAGTCACCTTGAAGCAACTCGTTCGATTTGGTCAACCACCTTTATCCAATGAAAGCTTACAAGCTTGCACAACCTATGCACGAACTGAACTACCTGTGCGTTTGGCCAGACGTGTGAGAGCCTTTCAGAGTTTACCTTTTATTGTAGGCACTAATCCATATATAAAAGAAATCTACAACCTATATTACGATTCCTTTGAGACATTGATCAAGTATGTGCCAGCAGACACTGACGACTGGGAGTTCATCGAGACATTGAAGGACTTTGTTGAAAGACACAGTGACAATATACCTACGTTAGCACGAGGTAAGCTTTTTATTGTTTTTGTATTATTGAGGCTTGTTTATCATTATTTATATATATATATAGGCTTTCTGGAGTGTAAGCAATACATGAACAGTCAGGACATGGCACGGTTCCTAGACGATATGATACATGCACGAATAGGAATTCGATTGATTGCCGAACAAGCTATTGCATTGATGCACCAAAAGGATCTCCAAACGGACGGAAGGGTCGGCATTATCGAAACACAGCTCAAACCAGCAGAATCGATCAAACGCTGTGCCGAGTTTGTGTCCGAATTATGCGAGTTTAATTACGGCCAGAGTCCTGAGATCATTATCGATGGACACACGGATACCCAATTCACATACGTGCCCGTTCATCTAGAATATATATTGACGGAACTACTGAAGAACTCGTACCGGGCAACGATCGAGTATCATCAAAAGATGAAGCGCAATGTACCACCGCCTCCGATCCAGGTCACGATCAGTCATGGCCAAGAAGATATCTCGATACGTATTCGAGATCAAGGAAATGGTATTAGTGAATCTGATCTTCACAAGGTCTTTGAGTATTCGTATACGACCGTGCCTAAATCAAAAGAAGATGCAGAACATGATCCATCAAGCATTTTTAGAAATATTACAGAAATAGCTATGCAATCTGGTGTGGGCGGTCCCCTTGCCGGACTAGGGTAAGCACTTTGTTGACGTATAGTCATCATCATCTCATCGCTTTCATAGGTTTGGTTTACCACTGGCAAGAATGTATGCCCGATATTTTGGTGGTTCACTCACGCTTGTGTCTATGTGGGGATACGGATGTGACGTATTTTTGAAGCTAAGACATATTGATGAATTACTGGCAGAAGGATTAGAAATTTAAAATAAATAAAACTACACAGGAGCCTTTATTATTACACATTAGATTAAACATTAATTTTTAAGGACAATGGGTCCTGAGGTAAAGACTTCCCAGTCTTTGGGGTTCTTGGGATTACCAAAGACTCTGAGAGCAGAGATACGGAACTTGTAAGTACCAGAGGGAGCAGGGATGGGAATGGCGTTTTTGAAGTTGGAAGGAACGTAGGTGCCGTCCCAGGTGAAGGCAGTATATTGGTCATCCTTTGCTAGGGTATTACGGGGTAAGAAGGTGTTGCCTGTCTTGTACAAACCGAGAGACTTGCCAGTCTTGGCATCAAGAAGTTCAGCCTTGAGGAGGCGAGTGGGGTTCAAGAGTCTATAGACGGTATAGGGAGTATCGTTGGTCTTGCGATCAAAGACATATGTTTCGTTCTTGCCATAGGTCTTGTCACCATCAGAAATGAAGGGATAGCCCTTGTCGAAGAGAGGAAGTTCCTTTTGCTTGCCTTGGACACCGATGTAAGGGATCTTGAGGTCCTTACCGTTCTTAGATTGCTTGGACTTCAAGACGATGTAACCGCCATAGTAGATGTGTTCCTTGGGGTTGGTCTTGGGAGGAGTGACGGTAACAGTGATCTTTTGAGACTTTCCGGGAGCGAGCTTGAATGTCTTTTTGGAGAAACGCAAGGATGCCTTGGCTTTGACGTTCTTGGCAGGAGCGATAGGAGTGTAGCCACTGTTTTTGATATCATAAGGAGCAACACCAGTAGAGACTTCATTGACAAGTTCGTATTGGATTGTGTGAGAGCCATGGTTAGTCACAGTGAAGTGTTGAGTTCTGTACTTGGTCGTGGCGGTATCGTTGAAACTGATTTGAGCAGGGGTGACGTGGGCAGATTGAGTGATTGTGTCGTAGACTTGGACAAGACCAGCACCAGCGCGGACAGGGCTGTCAACGGTGGTAGTGCTGGCAACGTAGCGGACGGAAGCGTAGTTTTGGAATTGTTCATGTACATAGCTGACAGATTGCTTCTTCTTGCCATGAGCCTTGATGTAAAGAGCAACGGAACCAGCAACATAGGGAGAAGCCATGGAAGTACCACTCATAACACCCCAGCTGCCAGCGTAAGTGGGCATGGTAGAGTAGATAAGGCCACCGACACCAGCAATGTTGGGCTTGAGAATCAATTCAGCACTAGGACCGGTACTGGAGAAGTCAGAGATAGCACCCTTGTCGATGACGGGAGTCAGTTCTTTTTTGTCGCTAAAGTCAACCTTAACAGAGCCCTTCTTGGCAGCAGCAATCAAGGCATTACCATCTTTATTGGAGATCATAACTACGGGGACCTTGGCACCAGGAGTGGAAGGAACACCAAGAGCTCCAGGCTTGTTATCGTAGATGATGACAGAGACAGCACCGGCAGCGGCAGCATTGTTGACCTTGTCGCTGAAAGCACAGCTTCCACGAGCGACTAAGGCAACCTTGCCCTTGACATCAGCAGAAACATCTTCAGGCTTACAGGCATCGGCAGTAGGATTGGCAACCTTGGCAGCAACGGCGAGAGTGCCATCGACGGGATTTCCGGGGGTGGGGGAACCATCAACGAAGGAGATGTGTTGTTCAATGCCAGTGGCAGTCAAGAAGTTGGTAGCTTGATAGTTGTTTTCAACAGAGGCGACAGAGAAAGCGCTAGGAGCACTACTAGGGCTGCTCAAAGTGTAGGCACCATTATCACCGTCGTTACCAGCAGAGATCACGACGTGGACACCCTTTGCGACGATTTGCTTGATAATCTTGAATTCAGGGTTATCAGTGTTTTCGGACCATGGGTTAGTGGAGCCCAAACTGAGATTGATCACATCAACGCCAGCATCATAGGCCATCAATAAGCCCTTGACAATGATATCGTCACCAGTAACACCGTTACAACCAAAGACACGGTACATGGCAAGATTGGCTTCAGGAGCAACACCTGTAAAATTCTAGAAACTGATGTTAGTCATCTTATTGCTACCCAGACAAAATCAAAACTTACGGTGGCAGGATCCCAACCAGCAATGATACCAGAGACGTGTGTGCCGTGACCAGAGGCGCCAGATGCAGCACCACAGTTATCAAGAGGATCGTTATCGGGCTTGGGGCTGTTTCTACCGGTGTAGTTATCACCGACTAAATCGTAACCGGTGACAACTTTGTGTCCTTTACCGAAACCGCCGCCAAGGGCAGGATGTCTGTAATCAATACCTGAATACAATGTAATAAGCAAAAAAGGTCATTCTCACGTTTTTCCTATACGCGCTTACCGGAGTCAAGGATACCAACGAGGACGCCTTTACCCTTGTTCTTGAGTTTGCTATGGACAAGGTCAACTTGAGTCATGGAGTGAGGCAAGAGTGACTTGGCTTTCTTTCCCTTCTTGACGACCTTCACCTTGGGACGAGGCACGACACGAACAGGAGTGACATATTGGACATCAGCACGATCAAGGATGCTCTCGAGAGCACTCTTGTGGATATCTGCATCTTCAGTATTGATGTTGATGGACACACCATTGAAGAAGTCGTGGTTGTAACGTTCGTTGATCTTAACATCAGCGCCCTTGAAGTCGTCCAAGGATTGAGAAAAGAAAGTACCAGCAGAATCAGAATCAGTGTTGAATCCGACGATGTAACGACCGGGGATGATCTCTGAGGTTCTTGGCTTGAATTTGGGGTGGTGGATGTTGACTGCATCAGCCGTTAACACAAACACGGCCATACAGACACCCGCTACGTAGAGTGGAAGGATAGTCAGATTAGAGGGTTTCATTAAAGTGAATGGAAGGAGCCGATAAACTTCTCAGCCAAGATAAATAAAAAGAAAGGAAAAGGGAAAGTTAAATAAAAGAAAGGATGTTTTTAAATCACAAGGAAAAAGTTGGTTTCTTTTATATACAAGTTGATGTTGTGAAATCTTTGGTCTACACCATTGCTTTGTAACACATGATACCAGTTTAATGCAGAAAATACACATGTCAAGATTTATAAAATCGGCTAGGAGAATACCATCTATAGAAAGAAAGTCTATATAGGGTAAACCGTTACACTTTAAGGCCTTGGGTTGTGTCCTCACTCTCTTTTACTCTGGCAGATTTTCTGGTTCGAGCAAAAGTCACACGCTAACTTGTATCTTCCCGTCGATCCAATTGTAGTTTGCAACACAAAGAAAAGCAAGAAACAAACAAGCAGGAACAAAAGAAATGAAGAGAGAGCAGTAGTACTGCTTGATTGTCCTTGCATTGAAACTTCTGACTTTCTTTTTGATTATTGCTTATCAATTGTACAAACTATATTGACCTATATCACCTCTATTTCATCCATTGCGCATGCATATGTCCTCCATTTCTTCCTCCGCACTATCTGAGATAAACCCCATTGTTGCATTAGCAAATAAAATTACCGAGCTTAGAAATATCATAAAGTGAATCCTGTACTAGTTCTATTAGAAATAAAGGAATCTCGGTTTGGTTCGAAATGCTCTTTAACTCTATTACTCTTCTGTCAATTGGATAATAGGGATTCAATAGATGTGCTATGCGGTATTCATTAATTCGTCCTACTGTGTTACAAGCTTTGATGAATCGTCTTTCTTGATTTGGTTATGAACTTCGTGCCAAAAGTTGGCTATAAAGAAAATAAATTTCCTTAAACAAACAAACGCGTATGTACACAGTAAAGAAGAGAGACAGAGAGAAAGAGAATAAAGAAGAGTAAGAAAATGTGGCGGTGGATCCTAATGCATTACACACTGTGCAAATATATGTGTACCTGTATATAAACATACCACTTTATTTATTTCTTGTTCATTGAATAAAGGACAAAAATAAACAAAAGTTTGTTTTCCCGAAAGCTAGCATTCTTTTCAATTGGTTGATGCCATTGACTCACTACAGTGTTTCTTTACTGCTTTGTCAACTTGGGCCTCAGTCGGACAATAAGGGCGATAAAAGAGACTTCACGTAGGACAAAACGGTGCTAGGAAATATATGTAATTATGTAGTAACCAATGAGGCTACATTGATATTTGCTACGAAAACGAATGATTGATACCATTCTTCATTTCTTGGGGACTATTTTAAGGCCTGTAGTACATTATGTGTTAGATGGAAGCTTAGTACTCGTATATTGAGAATAAATACAAGATCTACTCGCTGTTCTATCTTACAACCCTTATCTAAAAAGTCAATGAACACAGGTTTAATAAAGAAAATAAGAACATTCTTCATTGTTGAATAGAATTTAATATCGTTCATATTACAGTTTAATGCTCCGGGTCAGTGTGAATGGGTCCTTTATTTATATGCAACAACCACATGCCTTAATAAAGTCTTTTTATTATATATACATATATGACGAAAGATTCTGTTAATCTCGTATCAAGGTCTGAGGCATAAGGTTACCAAGCCTTTCTTTAAACAATGATTATAGCTTTAGCGCTGTTAAAGATTGAAAACACAGACCTGACTCGACTAGTTCATGGTCTGCTGTTGCATCAACTTACCAATGTGTTAAATAACAATTATGTGTGCACACTATTAGCTTTTTACTTTAAACAAAATATCATATATTTAATCACTGAACCCTTTGTGTTCAGAAATAATTGTAAGAATCTTTCCGATGAACGTGTTTCTAAGCAGCTCATTTTATCATTTATAAAGATGAACAGCCTTGAGCAAATTGGCTTGATCGAAAGGTACTTTTGAAATACGCTCAATAAGGTGTCTCTTCACAATATCATAGGTAGGTTATAAAAAGGGATAGAATATTCAAAATATGAAAAAGAATAAATGGTATGTTGACAGGCGTTGGATCTATGCTTATTAATAGCTTACGTAAAGAGCACCAATGATCTGTACACTTTACAACATCCTAGTACCTTTTAATATCTTTGCATATCTCTATATTTTTCTTGAACTTACATGCGTAGCTCGGGCCGTATGCACTGTCATTAATCAAGAGTAAAGCCTCGGATGCCACGTAGTCTTTGTGAAGGAAACATGGCAGAAAAAAGAAACCAGTACAAGCACCTTAACCCAGAGGCTGAATTAGTTTAGGACAATTATAAAACAATAGATTGATAAACAGACTGAGGAGGAGTGGTTTATTCCAAATCAGCTAGCAAGTTGCGGAAAAAGAGCACTTGATGTAAATAACATAATCTCTTTGCCTTCTTAATCTTTATCAATCAATTTTAGCATCAGATACTTCAGAAATAGTCAATTCTGCTTAAATGGATGGTCCTCTAATTGACACAACAGTGGTAAAATAAAAGAGCATGTCTCTATCTTGTTCATTAATATATGAACATAAAAAGTAGAAAAAAAATCTCTTTTCCTTTCACTCTTCTTTTGAGACAAAGCTTTATTGCAGAAATCAAAGGTGTCGGTTTATCACCAATACTTTATTTTTGGTCACTTTGGCAAACACTGCACTTACCCACTTTTTAAGCTTGAGTCAATTATAAACAAAATTGAGAAGCCAGCATGAAAAATGAAACTTCAGTACGTCACAAATACTTTGTGATGTGTAGGCAAAGATTTAGGAGTGGGAGGGAGAGGAGTGAAGGAGGAGTGGGATTACAAAAATTGGTAATAGGTTTGAGTTTGAGGAGACGATCATTAGATTGCCTGAGTGAAAGGAGGGGGTAATAATGGCTTAGAGGACACGAGAACAGACTTAAAGCTCAGGACCTGAGGCTTCTGCTAAAGCAACCTTATCGGTGTTCTTAACAGTACGTGGCTTATCGGCATCAGTAATAATAAACAAAATGTAAACATGAGAAAAACCTTACTTCTAGAACTCAATGATATAGATATGGGAATCAACTCTTCCAAGAAACATTGTATTAAGGTACTCAATAACCTTATTGGGCTTCTTCTGAAAGACATGAGTACCGAAGAGATCAAGGGATAAGGGGTAGTTCGATTCACTTTTCTTAAGAAGGTGTTATGCTTCACGCACCAGGAAGGGTCGACCTCTCCCTGCAAATATATGCTCATAGGCTATAAAAGAAGCCATGCTTTTATCGAATCGATTGAGCCTATTTATAAACTGGCTCTAATTTTCCAGTTATTGAAGCAAGCGTCTACTGTGTAGATGGATAGAATATTATCATATATTATGTATATGAAATGGTTGTCGTTTTCGAAAAATTACCTTGACTTATTATTAGGTCAAATCGAATTGGCACTTCTTGGGGATGATTGTCGCTACGATGTAAAAGCTTTGTTCCTTTTCTTTCACTCT